TCGCGCATATGTTAGTCATGGGATTCTTAAAATGAAACATAAAGATTTTCGTGTGATAAGACATGTAAACCACAAGTTTTTGTAGTTACCTGGTAAATGATCAAGGAGAATGGTACAAATTATCATATAAAAACACAACACGAATTGGGCACTACTTTTTGGCACGTAGGTTGAATGTAACTTCGTTGATATGCACAAAGGGAAGATCTTCATCATGTTGGTATTGCTTGCTATGCTGTTCCGATTGTTGTTGCTCAGAGCCTATATTTTTGCAAACATATCACGAACATTGTCGAAAATATATTGAAGTGTTTGTCAAATATATTCTATTCTAAGATAACTGCTGCTATAATATCTATGAGTGTTTTTCTTTTTCTTCTTTGTCTCCACCTTATCCCACCAGTTGGGGTTGGCACAGCGAATTTTTCTATACCATTCTCTTCTATGAGCTGTCATCTCAACACTCACTCCTCTCATATCGTCATTCACACAATCCATCTATGTATTTTTCGGTCGACCTCTTCCCCCTCTACCTTGCACTACCATTTCCATACATCTCCTAGTCACATGCATCTCCTCTCTACGCATCACATGTCAATACTATACTTACCGTGCGCTCTTTAACTAATCTAAAATGAATTAGTCAAATCTTAGTTTCGCCATTAAAACGGTTATCAAAACTATTTTTAAATAGCTACCTCGTCTTTTTTGCTAGAAATAAAAGTCTTGCGGAGACTTTTTTCCTTAACAGCCAAATGAGTATACAATGCTAATGGGAAAAAGTTAAGTCGTTACCTTAAACAGAATAAAGGTCCAATAAGGTAACAAAGGTTTTAGTTGTAAAATTATAAGGTAACGTATACTAAAAACAACAAATCATGTATTTACAATTTTAAAGGTTAAGTTAATACATATCACAACATGTTATTTTTTTAATCAAAACCATTAGAATTTAAATGAAAAGAAGGAAACGTCCAAACACCAAATTATTTCCGCACACATTAATTCACTTCAGTTAAAATTCTTTTGCATTCGAATAATTATACCGTTATTCATTTAAATTGTGAACGCGTAAGAAGTATTTTTAAAATTTAAGTCACATTAATACATAATTATTTTTTTACCTTTGTGTTACTATCGAAGGTCAAAGGTCAACAGTGTGATTACGTTGTTTTAGGTATTCAATGAATTGAAGTACTCACTCGTGGGCTAAAGGACGAGACTCTCGGTGTATTGGTATCGAACGTTGAGGTTTGCGTTCAAATAAATAATCATAATAGATGGTTCATTGTTATGCAATTGTACACGTCATTATGGGTCCTCCCGATCCACTAACGGTGCTTTTAGGTACCACAAGCATCGGTCACCGTCCTCTTTGAATCCGTCGCTTGCGACGAAGGGCTCGACGAGTGAATTAACCCATAGACACAGCCCACTGAGTTTCTCGCCGGATCTTCTCAGTGGGTCACGTTTCCGATCCGGTGGTAGATTCTGCGAAGCACTGCTCTTGCCAAGGGCCATTGTTAGCAACATTCCCGGTTAGAGCCCCGTGAGCTCACCTACACGTTAAGGGTAGGCACCACCACCCTGCCTGTTTCTGCCGTGAAGCAGTAATGCGTTTCGGTTTGAAGGGTGGGGCAGCCGTTGGAACTATACTTGAGACCTTAGAACTTATATCTCAAGGTGGGTGACGCATTTACGTTCGAGATGTCTATCAGTAACCGCTCAACATCAGGTGGGCTGTGAGCTGGTCCAACCATCTAAGCAATAAAAAAAAAAAAAAATGATCAAAGTATTTGTTTCTTGTTACAATTTTCACGGCTGGTCGCTTGAGTCATCGACCGAACACGCCGGTAACTTAACTTACCTCTTGTCTAGTTGACTCGGTTCACCTTGGCTTTTTTTTTGCGATAGAAAAATTAAAAGTATTTAGTTGTTCGCCAGTAAGGTGAGTGCAGTGTTCTGTTACGATTTTAAATTCTTTTTTCTCGTAAAGTTTTTGTGCACGTAGGTATCGGATGCGTTTGTTTTTTGATAACTTTTATCGCGTGTTTAATTAAAGTTACCGTTGTTGTTATGTGGAGGTAAGTAATTATGATCATTTGGCATTTCTTGCAATGGTTTAAAAACTGAGTTTAACCCGACAAAACTGCTTGCAAGAGTAAACTGAACTATTTAATTGCACAGTGATATTATAAATAGTAAAATACTTTTGATACTTACTTTAATCTATATTATACTTACTTGTAAATACTTTTATGCGATTAAAATATCAACATAATAAAATGATTAAGTCAATATTTTAAAATTCTAAAATATATTACAATGAGTTTAAATTGTCACAAAAAAAAGATGAAATCCGTTACCTTTTTCCTTCTTTTTTTTTAAGTCGAGAAAAACATGCCCACCGCAGAAAATAAAAACATTAAAAGTCTTTTTTTTATATACAACATATCATCACGTCATGATTTCCATTACGTGTAATTTAGTAAGAAACATTTCCTTGGTATGGAGAGAATGCTTTAAACGCGAGAAATGTCGGAGATGTTCAACTGGTCTCTGACTGTCTCTGGTGTTTGTTAACAGAAATAAGAGTTGCGTTTTGATTTTAATCACTTCGATACCGTTCGTTATTTTTAACAAATTCACCTTTAGGTTTTTCTATTTGTTTCTTCTTCTTAGTTTATTTGTTTTTTTTTTTGTTTCTTTATTTCTTAAGTTCATTATTTGTTTCTTAAGATCTCAACAGCAAAACAAATTTACGATTTTAACACGAGACGACGATTTCAAATATTATCAGGCAAATCCAGGCAATGTTTATCAGGCAAACTATTTCTATTTACTAACCTAACAGCGGTATTTTATGTTCTTAAATCCCAAAAGCACCAATGCTAATAGCTAATGATTAGTAGCATTGGGAACAGATCCATTGGCCCCATTCCGAGGCTTTTCTTTGAATGCACGGTTCACTTTCTTTCGGGTCATAATACGAGGTCATGATCTTTGTCGAGTTGGGATACAGAAAGCGGCCGAATCGATCATAGAACATCAGCGATGCAACTTAACCGAGAAAGTTCTTTTATTAAAGCCCTTTTATTAGCTCGGTATGCACGTACATATGTTTGTTTGTATGTAATGGAGTCTTTGAACGTTATTTTCACAGACTTTAAAGCGTCCTATTAACTTCTGAAATTTTGCATACGCTAACGTTATTTCACCGACTTTAAAGCGTCCTATTAACTTTTGAAACTTTGCATACCCTAACTTTATTTTCACCGACTTTAAAGCGTCCTATTAACTTTTGAAACTTTGCATACGCTAACGTTATTTTCACCGACTTTAAAGCGTCCTATTAACTTCTGAAACTTTGCATACGCTAACGTTATTTCACCGACTTTAAAGCGTCCTATTAACTTTTGAAACTTTGCATACCCTAACGTTATTTTCACCGACTTTAAAGCGTCCTATTAACTTTTGAAACTTTGCATACGCTAACGTTATTTTCACCGACTTTAAAGCGTCCTATTAACTTTTGAAACTTTGCATACGCTAACGTTATTTTCACCGACTTTAAAGCGTCCTATTAACTTTTGAAAATTTGCATACGAAACATATAATTTTATAACTCCATTCTTAATATCTTGACCTAGTATCAACAGGATAAAAAATAAATGAAATAATGTTTAGCGGATTTTTTATGTTTTTGATGACATTTTTGCAACTTTACAGGAGAACAATTTACAGTATAAAAATAGGAAAAAAATATCATAACAAAAAACTTATACAGACAGCTATTTGAATGGGGTAAATTAAATTGAAGTTTAATTATAAGCATCGAATTGTTAATACTAATACCAAATAAAACGGACCTTAAATTACGAAGATTAATGTCGCGTAATTATTAGCCTTTCACCCTTCGATATACTATATTGGACATGTAGAATCTTGTAACGCAATAATCTACCTTACAACATTCTACATATAATAATAAAGGCTAACGCCATTTTTTATTTTTTTATTGCAGAGATAGCTGGACTAGCTCACAACCCACCTGGTGTTAAGTGGTTACTGGAGCCCATAGACATCTACGACGTAAATGCGCCACCCACCTTGAGATATCAGTTCTAAGGTCTCAGTATAGTTACAACGGCTGTCCCACCCTTCAAACCGAAACGCATTACTGCTTCACGGCAGAAATAGGCGGGGTGGTGGTACCTACCCGTGCGGACTCACAAGAGGTCCTACCACCAATAATAAAGGCTAATGCCTTAGTAGCCTTTTTTATATAGCTATCGTAAATGCGCACAGGATTGAAAGTGCTTAATCATAAATAATTTATTGTATTTGTATTCGCCATTATTGCGTATAAATCGTAAATTAATGTATTTAAGTGGTCAAGTTCGTAGTTGTTCACTAAAACCGTCAGACTACATTAATGGCTACCGGAAGCGGGAACAGTCACTCTCTAATGATATTTACAATCTGATTACAAAAACAAACTCATTGACCGGCAAATCGACATTGAGTGTGGAAGCGCCTTTACGTTAACTTCACTTATAAACTACACGATGAGCTTGATGTAGCGTTCCGTACTATAGAAGTGAGGCCCGCTGCTCTGGATAAAATATGCTAAAATCATACCGCCGGTCCTGATAAAACGTTTATTAGGTATTGATTTTAGAACAAATATCTAATTTACTTCATGTCTACTATGTTTAGAGGCGTGTTTTGATTGTGCTAGACTACCATAGATAATTTCCAGATTTGAAATATAACCAGTCATATTTTGCTAGCTTTAAATATTAGTTTCTCTTAGTTCTCTTAGTTCTCTCTTAGTTTCTGGGTTCCAAGCGGTCTCCATTGCGACAGTGACCGCGATAGTGAACAACAATAAGGCTCGAATAATAACCGCGTGCTCGTCAAACGACTCGATTGCTTTGTTCGTAGTCCGAGCCTTCGCCTCACATTATCTTGATCACACATTTATCTTACCCGCAGTAGTTTCGCGTTTAGTCAGTTTGTGAATACCGTAGCGTTTGTACGTGGTATTTGGCATAATTCTTCGCGAACGAACAGTGAATGTGCGTGGTAACTGTACACAGGGAACACATATATCTGAGGTGAGTGTAAGATGGATTAAAAAAATATATTATATTAAAATTGAATTTAGTTACGGCTTTCGTGTTTCTATAATGTAGGTAGGTACCCGATAATTCGAACGAACCAATATTTTTAGTTTTAGAATTCGACGTACCCACTACATATTATGTGTTTGCATCGATAAGAATCCATTTTAATTGCAAAGTAGCGTGTTCATTAGCATTTTTACTATACTTTTAATTCTTTCACAATTACATTGTTACCGGTATTTTAGAATTACAATAGGAAAATGTACATGGTCGTATTACTACTGTAAAATGAACAGTGAGGTAGCTTTTTATGAAACTGAGATCAGATAATGATAACGAAAAAGGAACATTGTTTTAATAGTCTTAACGTTGAAATTACCCTGGTTAGCTGTTACCTGACAACTTATGATAAATTTCTTTATCGTAGGTTTGAAAATAACTTTAATTGGGTCTATCCAAGCAGTCCGAATCCAACAACTATTGAATTGGTTTTCGTTCATTTAAATATTACTGTCTCGAACGAGACATGGACATTTTAATTACGTATACCGGTAGACGGAGCTAAAATATTGGTACGGTACCTCCCAATATTTTATATAGGTAGGGTACCTCCCAATATTTTATATCGAAATAATAATAACGAAATTAGAAGATTGGATCTACTTGAGAAAACTAGCTCACTATCGTCTTCGTTTAAGTCACTGGTGAATTTCGTGAGATATGAAGGTCAAATTTTCAAATTCTATTGTATAACGGCTGTATAAAGGACTATCTGCCCGCACCGACTCCGCTCGGGTCTTTAACAAAAATTTCAACGATCTTTGACGTTGTTTTATTTTTTAAATAAAAGAACACTTACAGAAATCTCCAAACGCTTGAAGGAGGTTACACATGATGCTAAGGCTGGCTGGTACTTTGCACAGAGAGTGAGTCTGGCTGTCCAACGAGGCAACGTAGCCAGTATCTTGGGGACTGTGCCTCCTTCAAGCACGTTGGAAGATCTGTTCTACTGTATATGAAAAAAAAAAAAAAAAAAGAACTCTTATTGCGGCATAAATATAATAGTTAGACATGCTGTCGGGAAACTTTTGTGAATAATAATGTGTTCTACAAAGTCGTAGTACATTATTTTATTCTATTTTAGGTAATTTTTTTACACCTTGGGTTACATTATTAGAGTTTTAGTAAGGATCCCTATTTTTTTTCAAAAAAGATTATAAGCCTATGTCACTCGGGAATAGTGTAGTTTCCAAACAGTGGAAGAATTTTTCAAATTGGTCCAGTAGTTTCGGAGCCTATTCAATACAAACAAACAAACAAATCTTTCTTCTTTATAATTATATTATATATTATATAATATAATAATAATAAGTATAGATTAGTATAGAAGTATAGATTAGTATAGATGAAAACCTCAGATAACTGTTATGCTTAAGAAATAGGCAAGGCGGTGGTATGGGCAGTGGTAATAGGCAGGGCGGTGGTATGGGCAGTGGTAATAGGCAGGGCCTTACTATATTGGCTTTCAGTATAACTTATCACCAGTAAAACACCGCTCTGCTATTAGAAACTACAGCGTAACAATTCCTAGTTGACACTTGCCTATCTCTTTCGATCGTGCTTGAAGTTGCCTTTTAATGTAAAAGAAAAAATACAGTGCAACGATTTCTAAGGTATATCGCGTTTATTAATCGTTAAGGCGTAATGCGTCACTCCAGTCACTGCAAGTTAGCCTCAATTCTTAGAATTAGAGCAATTTTAATTCCGTACAAGGAGTTAGCAAGTTGACAAATCATCGGTGAGCAAGTCTGTTTGTGTTTGTTTTGGTGATTAATGCAATTTTGCGCCAATGTTCGAACACTATCCGGAAATTTCAATAAAATTGATAATTAAAAGTATAGATTATCTAAAATAGGAATTAACTGTTATATTTAAAATGGCAACTTCACAAAGTCATTATTAACAACTCACTTACAGCTTGTTACAAAGTATCACAATTTCTTAGCTATATTTAAATCACAATCCGTTGCATTGGAATATTATTACTATTAATTTTTTATTGCTTAGATGGGCGGACGAGCTCACAACCCACCTGGTGTTAAGTGACTACTGGAGCTCATAGATATCTACAAAGTAAATGCGCCACACACCTTGATATAAGTTCTAAAGTCTCAGTATAGTTACAACAGCTGCCCCACCCTTCAAACTGGAACGCATACTGTTTCACGGCAGAAATAGGCGGGGTGGTGGTACCTACTCGTGCGGACTCACAATAGGTCCTACCACCAGTAAAAACATTGTCTTATTATAGTTCGAAAGAATGCTGCGCATTTGACTAGATGCCACAAACCCTATAGTTAGCGGACAGTTCATGCAATGGGCCGGTAGCATTTATTTTAATGTCTAACTTTTACGATCACATAAATTACCATAACATATTTTATTGCTAAAAAATGTTGCTGCAATTCCTTTGTAATAACAATAAAAATGAATTGTTTTTATTGTAAGTGTAATGTTAAAATAATATTTCAATTGGCGATGCTTTCTTTTATATATGTAGATATTGTGTATGTTTCAGTGAACTTTATTTTTATTAGCAAAAGAATCCTGTTACAGTAGATGAGAGAGATTTCTTGTACAAAATAGTAAATTGTTGTAATAAATGGATAACTGTATACAAAACTGATCTGGAGACTCAGGTTTCATGTGACATTTGATTTGGGAACTTGTTGAAACATGCACAAAGTATTTCTGATAATGTTAAAAATAAATATCATGAATCCTTTTCGAGAAATCCTCAAAAATGTAAGCTTGTAATAAAAATACACAAAAAATTTTTGAACAAAAAAAGGCATTTAACTTTTTACTGCTTTACTGGTGGTAGGACATCTTGTGAGTCGGCACGGGTAGGTACTACCACCCTGCCTATTTATGCCGTGAAGCAGTAATGCGTTTCGGTTTGAAGGGTGGGGTAGCCGTTGTAACTATACTGAGACCTTAGAACTTATATCTCAAGGTGGGTGGCGCATTTACGTTGTAGATGTCTATGGGCTCCAGTAACCACTTAACACCAGATGGGCTGTGAGCTCGTCCACACATCTAAGTAATAAACAATAAAAAATAATAATTTTATTCTGTTTTTAATTTTATTCTGTTTTATTTAAATTCGTAATGTGAAAGTGGCAATTGTTTATTGCCAGTGGCATTTGAAAACAATTTAATTCTCGTAAAACATTAATGGCCATCTATCTCTCAGTAACGTCGGGAAATCGTGTGGCATTTACGCTGTGTAGTGTTTCACTCACGAATCTTCCATAACAAGATAATACTTGTAGCTCAGCGCGTTATGAATTCGATGTTCTATAGGTACCATGACGAGGAAACAGTGATCGCTTCGGGCAACGGGAAGATAACGATACGAAATGATAAAATATATATTATGTAGTCATTTAAGCTTTAGAAATAACGTAGCTCATAAAAGGTATGGTCTTTTGTTTAAGCTTCATACTGAGTCCAGTTTTTTTTTTTTACTTAAGACAAAGTAAGTTTAGTAAGTAGTAACAAAGTGAGTTTGAAGTCGTCGTGGCCTAAAGGATAAGACGTCCGGTGCATTCGTGTTCAGCGATGGACCGGTGTTTGAATCTCGGGCAGGTACCAATTTCCTAATGAAATACGTACTCAACAAAATATGTTCACGATTGACTTCCACGGTGAAGGAATAACATCGTGTAATAAAAATCAAACCCGCTAAATTATAATTTGTGTAAATACTGGTGGTAGGACCTCTTGTGAGTCCGCACGGGTAGGTACCACGACCCTGTCTATTTCTGTCGTGAAGCAGTAATGTGTTTGGCGGCATTTACATTCTAGATGTCTATGGGCTCCGGTAACCACTTAGCACCAGGTGGACTGTGAGCTCGTCCACCCATCTATGTAATAAAATAAAATAAAAAAGAGGTTACTGGTGACCATAGACATTAACAACATAAACGCCGTCACCCACCTTGAGACATGAGGTCTATGTTTCAGTTTTATAGTAGGCACAACAGCTGCTTTAATCTTTAAACGGAAACGAATTACTGCTCTATAGGCAGGGCGGTAGTATCATTGTGGGCTCATAAGACACCTTAGGGCCATCCTCATGTCATTTTACACATACTAGAGGTCCCGCAGTAGTCGAAATTCGACTATAATTAATTGGAATTGTAAGTTTGTACCCTATTATGATTGTATTTTATACTTCTATAATCACTAATTTCGCCAAGACTACACTATAAAAAATATTAACAAAGACAAACAATATTTAATCTATTCTCAATTTGACAACAGACGTCAAGAGCAAAAGTTTGACAATAAATAGTATGCATGCGTGTGTGCGTCAAATACATGGTATGTAGTGTGTGTAATGTTTTCTTTATTGATTTAATGTATCTTTTATGCATTATTTAAAAAACATATTAGCATTGTGCACTTCTTCTCTGTATTCTCTATAAGTGTAGAAAATATCATAGTCCTCCGTCCGCACAATTTTCGTAAAAAGGAATACAAAGTTTTTGCTTCACGTATTAATATATAGATAAATTGGAATAAAGTGCTTGATTTAAGAAGCAATACCTTAACCAGTTGTTCAACCACATTTTTTAAAGTCGATCTCAGAATTATTTCGCATAAAATATACACAACAAAGCTATTTTAAGATTTAAATCATAAAACTGCACGTTAAGAATCTCAAAAGTTCAATATCGCCTTTTGTTATTTTCATTTCATCATTCCAGACATTTCGAATGCCTTACAGATTTCGTGGTCATGAATAACAATAAAGTGTAATACTTGTTTATAATATGTAATTATATTCGTGATCACGAAATATTTATATATATATTTTTTATTTGACGGTAGTTAGTAAAATATTCATTGTATCACAGTATACTGGTGGTATGATCTCTTGCGAGTCCGCACGTGTAGGTACCACCACCCTGCCTATTTCTGCC